GCTCATGGAAACTCCATAGACACATCCAAACTCCCTGAGGGAACGAACTGCCGGGCCAAGGGCTGTGGGGACCATGGTCTCCGGGAACATCTAGCTCAACTGGCATAACATAGTTTATTAACAAAAGTGTTCTACATTCTACCTTGATGAGTATCGTCTGGGGTCTTAAAAGCCTGTGAGAAGCCATCTGGTCTCATGCCTTCAGGAGCAAGAGAAAATGAAGAAAACAAGACACAAGGGAAAGATGAGTCCAAAGGACTAATGGACCACAACTACCACAGCTTCCAGAAGACTGAGTCCAGTACAACCAGATGGTACCCGGCTACCACCACTGACTGCTCTGATAGGGATCACAACAGAGGGTTCTGGACAGAGGTGGAGAAAAATGTAGAACAAAATTCTAACTCAAAAAAAGACCAGATTTACTGGCCTGACAGAGACTGGAGAAACCCCAAGAGTATGGCCTCCGGACACTCTTTCAGCTCAGTAATGAAGTCACTCCTGAGGTTCACCCTTCAGCCGAAGATTAGACTGTCCCATATAACAAAACGAGACTAATGGGGCACAACAGCCCAGGACAAGGACTAGAAGGCAGGAAGGGAGAGGAAAGCTGGTAATAGGAAACCCAGGGTTGAGAAGGGAGAGTGTTGACATGTCCCGGAGTTGTTAACCAATGTCATAAAACAATATGTGTACTGTTTAATGAGAAACTATTGTGTAAACCTTCATCTACTGTAAAATAAAAAAAGTTTTAAAAAAAGGAATTTGCCAGTTAATAAGCAGCAGACCAAGAGACTGAAAGGGTAAGAAATCAGGAAGCAGATGCTAAGGGCAGAGAAGCTAAGGAGAGCTGCCCGCATCCAGAAAGGGCCGGGGAGAGAAACCCCCAGAATCTGAAAGTAGGGCAGAAAGCCACTGCTAAGAGGGCAATTTCTAATCAGAACTCCATTTCTGTAAATTCCCAGGATTGAAATAGTTCTCAGAAGTGCTCAAGATGGAAAATGTCATCCAAACAATCCCCTGGGAAAATCCAAGACTCTGTTAGTGAAGAAATATGTTAGCAATTCATCTACAGTGTCTTGTTTTGCTTTATATTGCTCAGAAGGAGTAAGAATCTGTGCCTTTAAAGAAATTACCAAAACCACAAAAACTAAACGTGCATTACTCTTTAAATAGAAAGAACAGATTTAAATAAGAGATGTTGGAACAGCTGGGACAGACAGCTGCCTTTTTCCTTTTCAGACTTAACAATACCAGCAGTGAAGCCCTGGATGATGAGGCTGGGGCCAGGTTCTGGGCAGGGCTGGTGCTGAGTATTATTAGCCTTGTAGTTTGTTAAACAGGATTCACCTTTTGTGGAATTCACCCTAACAGCTGCCTAGCAGTGTCTGTCACATATCAGATACTAGGTCACACTTAGAATAAACTGTGGCAGACAGATTCTCTAGGCAGTGAAACTGGCCCATGATGGGAGATAGAGAACAACCATGTTCAAAGAAACCCATAGCAGAAAAGCAGTTTCTAACCCAGCAATCAGTTGCTGTCGAGACGACTCTGACTCATGGCGACCTCGTGTGTGTCAGAGTAGAAGTGTGCTCCATGGGGTTTTCAATGGCTGATCATTTCTGAAGTAGATCACTAAGCCTTTCTTTTGAGGCAACTCTGTGTGGACTTGCATCTCCAACGTTTTGGTTAGCAGCCAACGCATTAACCATTTACGCACCCCAGGGACTCCAAGTTGTATCTACGCAGGTGTTTTTGTTTGAACACTTCTCTGTTGTTGGTGAACCCCATGAGTTACATGTACAAAGGCAAGCTCAACTGTCAGAGTTGGGGCTATTTTTTAGAGACTAAGTCAGCAATCCCTATGAAATTTTTAAAAATATTCATGCCCCTTGGCTTGGCATTATCATCTATGCAGCTACCCAGTAAAACACCTTGCAGAATTTTAAAAGAATGAAGCAGAGCTCACTAAAAAGAATGAGGTATGTACTGATACAGACACACCTCCTATTTATATCATTATGTGAATAGAAAAACAAGTGCAGAACAGTGTGAGTGGCATGGTCCCTTTAGTGTACATTCTAAAATACATGAATGGATCCATGTATGTGGGAATTGCTTTTTTCCTGGAAGAAATCATAAAAACCATGTTGGTAATAGAATTACTTGGGTGGGGAGACTTGCGGCCATTTTTGGTTTCCTTCTTTGATCCGTGTTAATTTTTAAATTAAATGTTACAAAGGAAAGTGTAGGAAACAAGAGTATATTTTCAAAGCCCAAGTTTGTGAAGTGAAACTCCCAGTTTTCTCAATGCCCTATGTCCCTCATGCATCTCACCATCTGTGGCACCCAGCAGATTTCTCCAAGACCAAAACGGAGTAGCTGGTGACTAAAACCCAGTCCTCTAAGGGAGAAGTCCTTCTGTCACAGATGTTCAAAGGCAGAAGAGTACGAGGGTGCCTGAAGGCGGCTCTCTTCTAGCTCTTGCTACTCTGAGTGGGTCTGTGGACCAGCAGCATCAGCACCAGCCAGGCACTAACGGGAAATGCAGAATCTCCCATCTCACCTCAAACTTACTGAATCAGAACTTACGGGATTTTCAGGGATTCATTAGCCACCTATCAAGCCAGTTACGGTCCCTGGGTGGTGGAAATGGTTAACCTGCTTGGCTGCTAACTGAAAGATCAGAAGTTCGAGTCCACCCAGAGGCACCTTGGAAGAAAGTCCTGGAGATCTACTTCTGAGAAATCGGCCATTGAAAACCTTATGGAGCACAGTTCTACCCTGACACACATGGAGTTGCCATGAGTCGGAGATGATTCTATGGCCACTGGTTAATGGTTCATCAGCATGTCAATGTCTGAGAAGCACTAACTGGCTCAGAGGATGTCATCCTGGTTGCACACTGCGATCACCAGCAGCATTCTCTAAACATATCAATGCAGGGGGAGTCCCACCACAGATACAAGGTATCAGAACCTCTGGGTGGGCCCCTCATGGGACAATATAATGTGCAGCCTGGTGTTGCAAATTCCCAGAACAATGTGGATCTCCTTTTTCTGTGCTCCTACACTTCAACTACACTCCTGTTGTCACGTTTGTGATAACCATGGCAATTTACAGAGTGCTTTCTATGTACTGGTCACTGTGCTAGCACTTAACATATATATCATCTCCCTTTAACTCTCCTAACCTTGTCAACTTGGCCATTTGCATCCCCGTCTTCCAGTGAGGAAACTGAATCTTAGGGAGTTCAACTAACTCATTGAACCTCATGTAGTAAGTGGTGGAGGGCAAGTTGAAACCCAGGCTGTCTAACGTCTATGCTCTCAACTCTATCATAATATGGTTGTTTACACTGTGTCTCTCACTAAAATGTGATCTTTTGAGGTTAAGAATTATGTCATTCCTTTTTGACCTCTGGTGCCACCCCACAGTAGATGCTCAGTAAATATTAAAGAGCACTGAGTGCATCATTAGCTTAATATACTGCAGATACACAACAGAACGTTGATGGACGGAAACATACACAAGTGAGGCACAGCCCAGAAGACCAGCTAGATGACACGCCCATTCCCTAAGGATGGTTTTAGGAGCTCAGTTGGTGCCAACTAATGTTCTATCAAGTCATCACCATTCAGACTTTGCACCCGTCATACCTCCCCTCCTCCTATTAGTTAAGATCTGTGAGCTCGTGAGTGACACAGCGTCAGTGCTCCCCACGTGGGTCACCTCAGAACAGAGGGCTGAGCTAAACGAATGCTCAAGTCTCTTCCAATCCATGTCCAGCTTCAATTTCAGCTCCAACTCCCAGTCCCCTCCCCACTAACAGACGTTTTTACAGGCTTCTGGAAGACATGGTGTGCTCTCTGTAGCCCGACAGAAAGCTGTGCTTTTTGACCCTCAGCACCCTACTCCAGCAACGATCAGAACAACCTTGCTCTCCTCAGGTGCTCTTTACCATGCCCCAGGCCCCACAAAAATCCAGTAGATAGCAGTGAGTTACTCTGATGTTTATTTTAATGCATCTTAGTCCACACAGTTGGTATAAAATCAGAAAAAGCAAAGCCAAAAAAAAGGTCTGGAGTCTTAGCATCCAAAGGGCACCGTATATACATCTACAGTTGGTGGCCAATACAAGTCATTGCCAGACAGTCCTTGGAGGCAGAGAACAGTCTAGACCCAGCCAAGCCTGGGCGACTCATGGCCTCAGGGGTCTAGAGGCTTGTCCTGAAGCTCTGACCATAAGAAAAATGTGGGAGAGATCAAGGCTTTGCTTATTATTTATTCATTATAGTAATAATAGCAGCCTAGCTAGGTACAAAGGGGGTTATAAACCATTTATATTACACAAAATTATGCAGGCCTCCATTCTACTTTATGTTGTAAAGTTGTTAATTGAATTTCCAGTGAGTCATTTAGATGATTAGTGATAATAAGGAATGGTAAATACATAGCACCATTTCACAGGTTTGTTGTCACTGATTTCTCCTTTAGATGCATGGTGGGAACACCCACCCAGAAGGGTGAGTATCCCAAAGCCACAGCTGTATTTGTGCCAAGGGCTCTGATTTTGGAGGGATTTTGTCCATGTGTGTGTAAGACTTCACACAGAGATCCAAGCAGTGGGTGTTCATGTTTAATGCACTGGGTTACCCACAATAAAAGGGCATTTGGCCATTTGGGGTTTGGACCCACACTCTGATTTTCTAAATGAGGTGGAGTGGGAGGGAGGGTTTTCTTTCCGATGAAAGGAAAAGGATGAGATGGAGTTATCACTTAATTTCCAGGCAAAACAAAAAAATGAAAAACAAAAATACTGAGCTTGCTTACACTGTTAGGATGTAAAGTTCTTTAGATACTCCTTTAGGCTCAACACATGGCTGATGGTCAACATAAAAAGCAAACAATACTATGTACATATATGTAAAAAGTGTTATAAATAGGTTTTATAAACCGTAGATATTATATACATCTTTAATCAACAGTAACCCCCTCTCTACTTCCGGTTTGGTTTGGGTTGAGTGTTTTGGATAGCTCTTTGTTTCTGGTTTCCTTCCTCCCTTCCCTGTGCATGCTCAGAGCCTCAGAGGGTCTGTCTGGGTGCCTCATTCACGTTTCCGCAAAATCACGTAGATGATTCCGCTGAGCAGGGCCAAGGGGAAGGCCACCCAGGCCAGGATGTAGGCAAAGCCGTAGGAGTAGTCAGAGTTGAGATGCCACTCTAGGTGCCTTGCCGTGAAGATTGATGCTGCACTCATCACGGACAGACCTGGGGGAGGAGGGGGGCAAGAAGTGAGAGGCAGTCATGGCAGGGTCACCGCGGGGACCCCCTCCACCACCCCAGTGCAGATTACCCTGCCCACGTGCTCGCTGCTCTCCTCACCACATGGGATCCCACGGCTCAACACACACACACCACACACGGGAACTCCCAATCTTCGTTTCTTGGGGAGAAGGAAGCAGGGTGGACAGATGATTCCATGAGAGAGTGTTTCTAGTGGTGGAAGGGACCTGCTTCCAGGGCCAGAACTGAGAGGATGGGCTCTAAAATATGGGACCAAGGGAAGGGATCTAGGCTGTCATCTCTTAGGGGCACAGTCATGTTTTCCACCCCACTTTTTCTTCCTTTAACTGTCACCGACCTCCAAGCCACAGAGGTGGACAGAGAAAACTCAGGTTCCAAGATAAACCCGTCTACCTCTCTCCAGGGGTGGGTGAGTGGGGAAGCCCTTTGGACCCCGTGAGCTACTCTATCAGTGCACAGGAGCACTATCAGAAACCAAGGAAAGTGAAAGGGGATGCTATCATTGTCTGAGCTGCGCCACGGCAAAAGCACTTGGGCTTGTGGTTCACTTGGCCAGGATGCCACATAAGAAATTGAGCAGACAATGCTTATGGACATGACCAGGCATGCAAAGCAAAGTGTGGGCATGAGGAAATGAGGAAGGAAGCAGAGGCTGTGAGGAGGAAACAAAGATGCAGAGGGAGAGACTATTGATGGCAAGTTCAAGTTCACCTTGTCCCTTTCAACACTTATTGGTGCCCCAGGGCTTTGACTCAAGCATCACGTCTGGGGTGAAAGGGCATCAGATATACAGGGAGGTCAAGCCACCCTCCCTTGCCCACCAGTAAAGCCTTTTGGTATGGGAAGAGAAGAAAAGCCTCCACCTTGGGCCTCGTAGAGCAGCCAAGTTCAAGTCCAGCCATCCATGCCCATGAAGACAGTCTCTCTGCAGGGAGTGGGGAGTCCAGTGAGCTGCACAAAGCCTGGACTGTTTCCTCCTGAAAACAGGGCCTTTGAGAGGCTCTGAGTGACTCCATTATAAAGGCAGCATGCCGTGTGGGATCCGTGAGGCTCCAAAGCTCCCCATGGCCCAGACCACCTACATCTAACCTCCCTGTTATTTGGGCTGCTATTTGACCAGACACTGCAACTTTGTTTGAACAAAGTGCAGAAGTGGGAATATGTTGCATGAACCAGCCTGATAAGATTTTTCTTTTGCAAGTCAAAGGAGAAAACTCCTACTCAACTGGCCCCCACTGAGAAAGCCACACAATAGACTTCGGATTACAGCGGGATCAGAGCCAGGACCTGCTACCTACAGAAAATTCAGGAGATAGCAGAGATGTCTGTGTCTGAAGGGAACCCATGGCTGGTGAACTGTCGTTCGAGGAAACAGCAGTTTTGATCTGCTGGGAACACACTTATTTGCCTTGAAATTTGTAAACCTCAAATATCTTCTCCCACTGCCCCACGTCTCACCTCCTAAAGTGCTCTATCTGGTCTTGAAGAAATATTGACGTTGTGTCTTGAGCTCTGTCTGACCTACCTGAGTGGGGGCAGGGCTATAAAACAGGAAGCTTGTCCAAGGAAGGCAGAGCAGAAAGTGAGATGCTAACACAGTGCTAAAGGGGTAAAGCCAGCTTAACCAGTTGCCATCTAGTCAACTCAACTCTGACTCATGGCAACCCCAAGTGTGTTGGAGTAAAAGTGTGCTCTATACGGCTTCCAATAGCTAAGTTTTTAGAACTAGATCACCAGGGCTTTCTTCTGAGGTGCCTCTGGGTGGACTTGAACCATCAACGTTTAGGTTAGCAGCTGAGTGCATTGATCATTTGCATCACTCAGAGACTAAAAGAGTAGGAGAAGTCTTATCTTGATGGGAGAGCTTCCGAAGGGGGGCTGTGTCCTACCCTGCCCTGGGATAGACAATACCCCTGTAGCTGTGCATACCAACCATGCCCAACTTCACTGGCAAGAAGAAAATACCAGGTTCTGTCTTTGACCAAGAGGCACAGAGGGCAGCAGGATAAACAAGTGCGGTGACTAGATGGTTTAATTTGCATGACATTCGCCATGGCAGACTCTCAGAAATAAATGAATTTAAACTTAACTGTGATAAGCAATTAGTTTAGACACTTGCAAAGCCAAAGAGAGGACAACACATTATAATTATTGTTGTCAGGAGACTGACGTTTTAGGGGAATATATTATTAAAAGACTGTCCAGATGTAAAGCAATAGATGAGCCTGAAGATCCACTCAGGGCACAGCAGTTAACCACATACAACAGTAGGCCCCAAAGGCCAAATTCCTCCCTGTAAGTGTACTGCGACTTGCTTTCTCGGCAACCAGTAGGTGGAAATGCGTTCTCGAGGGCCACCACCGTGGGGGTAAGCCAGGTTCTTGACACAACAGATGAGCCATCTGCACTTTGGTGGTGGCCTGGAAACCTGGGAGGGGCCCAAGTCCAGGAATGGAGGTCAGCTGTAGGCGGAAGGACACTGGCCCTGTCCACACAACATAGAAGTGCTGAGCAGCGAAGTCACAATTCCTACCTGTCTCAGATGGATGGGTCTGTAACAGCTCCCTGAAAATTCTTCCCAAACCCCCTTGAAGAAGAGGTCTCAAGACCAAGGCTTTCAACCAGTTCATTCTGATGATAATTTGAATTTCCACCCCAGATATACTGAATCATAATCTCATGTTTAACAAGATTCCCAGATGATTCTTATGTATGATAAATTTTGAGAACTGCTGCTCTACTGTAGAGCATTTATCTTACGTAAGAATCACCTGGGTATCTTATTAAACTGTAGATTGTGATTCAGTATATCTGGGGTGGCAGTGCACATTCTCAGCAGGAGGTCAAACCAGAACAAACGGGTTCAAAGCCCTGGAAGCAACCAAGGGGCCAAAGGCAAAGGAAGAAACCGAGAGAATTCTCTATGTGTCCTTGTCTCCACTCAGTTTGGTTCCGTAAGCACTTAATGAATGGAAAACCTTACGGATCACAACAGAACACTGTCCAACTGGCTTTGGACACATCATCAGTAGGGACCAATTGCTGGGATGGAACATCATGTTTGGTGAGGTAGAGTGCCAACGAGGGTAAGGGAGACCCTTGGTGAGATGGACTGGTACAACAGCCACAACACAGATTCACATATGCCAGAGATGAGCGGGATGATGTGGGACCAGGAAATGGTTTATTCTCCTACGCATAAGGTCACCATGAATCAGCGTCGACTCGACAGCAGCCAACAACTATGTGCAGGCAATGCCTCTAGATGTGGAGAGAATGAAGATTCGGTCCTTGCGTTCAGGGAGTATCACCAGAACACAGACATGTCAGTAGATACGACCAGTATAGTCTGATGTGATTTGAAGAGAGTGAGAGAGAAAGACACTAGATGCTCTGACGACATGGATGGGCACCAAGTCCAAACCGGAGGATCGGAGAAGCCTTAAGGGTGGAGATGACATCCCTTGGACAATTGTGTCTGAAGGACGTGTGAAAGTTAGTCAGGTGAAGAAAGGTGGGAGGGGACTTTCAGGTAGAAGGAACAGCAGAATGAGGCAAGGAAGACCGACAGAGCCTGGTGGAAACCACCAGCAGGTCCCAGAAACAGACTCTCACCTGATGTGGCTGGAAGTTCACCAAGGGTCAGGAAAGAGAGCCTTGATGGCGTGGTAAGGAAGTTGTGATGAGAAGCCCCTAAGGGACTTTACACAGAGGAAAACATGATCAGATGGGTGTTTTAAAGACACTCGGCAGCAGTGTGAAAAAGGGAAGAGGTAGGATCTAAGAGAAGAGACAACACAAGTGGCAGGAAGACGGATGAGGAGGCTTTCAAACAGCTGCAATGGCATAGTGAATAAAGCAAAAGAAATGATATAATAATATACACTCGGGGTGCCACTCGATGGCAGAACTCAGGAACAGACTGGGTCTGGGGTGAGGGAGAGACAGCAGTCTGGCATGGCTGCCTGGTTTTTGAACTTAGGCAACTGGGAAATCCACCACCCATCTGTCAGCTTGTGGTACTGTGGTGGCTTGCATGTTACTACGATGTTGGAAGCTATGCCATCAACATTTGGTTATTTCAAACACAAACAGAATCACCCACGGTGGGCAGGTTTCAGCAGAGCTTCCAGACTAAGACAGACTAGGAGGAAAGGCCTGGAGACGTACTTCTGAAAATTAGCCAATAAAAACCCTATGGATCACGATAGAATACTGTCTGATTTAGAACCAGACAGGGTTTGTGTTGTTGTACATGGGTCACCATGTGTTGGAGCCAACTGGACAGCAGCTAACAACTGAGAAGATGATGCTATCTTGGAAGCCAAGGGAATAAACAGCTTCAAGGAGGGAGTAGTCGACAGTACTGAAAACAGTGGGGTGATCCAGCAAATTAAAGACATTGAAGTGGGCACTGGTGACCTCTGCAAAGCAGTCTCACCTGAGAGCCTAGGGAAGAAGTCAGAGTGAAGCTGGCCACAAAGTGAGACCAGGGAGCTGGTGAAAGGCAAGTGCATCATCCTTAGCGCAACAGGTGGGGCAGGAAGAGGCTGTAAGGCCCGTTACCATGCACACCTTGGGCTCTGAGTATGACCTACCCAGAGCCCTCCTGTGCTCCCACTGGCCCCATTCCCATTCTAGCATCCCAAGTGCCCAGTGCTGCCCACAGAGCCACCACAGCACTGCTGGACTCTGACCTGGGCATGGCCAGTGACTGCCTGCAATGATTCACTCCTAACATGGGTTCCTAAACGTGGACCCTGACATAAGCTGTCTGAACCACCTAGAACAGGTGCTTTTATTAATCCCCCCATTCTTTTATTCTAACTAAAATATAGCAATCTGCCTAAAACTAAAGAACAAATGGAAAAAATGAAACTCAGGAGTCTTCTTCTATTATCTTTTCTGTTCTTAAATCACAGTAAGTAGGAACTACACATTGGACCTGAGCTTGATTCTGCCAAGGGGACACAGCTATCCAATCATCCAGCAAATAGTTAACCAGGGCCCTCCACACGTGGGCCCTCTATGCAGGGAGCTAGTACTGGATGTAAGTAATAAAATAAATCTTTCCTTTCAGGTCTGTATTTTTACATGAATTTCTTGATTTTCTTTCACCTAGTGCAACCTAAACCAACAGAGCAAAGGTGAGAATAGCTACTATCTGGGAACATATGGCTACAGCTTCTGAAAATGAGAATGACTCCAAAATCCAGACACAGGATAGGGATGGCCCTTCTCTAAGAAGGGTTTAGAAGAATCTAGGGCCCATGAATGAGATCAGCTGTCTATGGGGAAACATCCCAGAACATCTTACAGTGGGATTACCAGCTGTCATTGAGTCGATTCTGACTCCTGATGACCCCATGGGTGTCAGAGTAGAATTGTCCTCCACAAGGTTTTCAATGGCTGATTTTTCTGAAGTAGAACGTCAGGCCTTCCTTCAGAGGCATTTCTGGGTGGACTCAAACCTCCAATATTTCAGTTAGCAGCCGGGCACTTAATCGTTTGCACCACCCAGGGACTCCTACTGTGGGCTTAAAAAATGCCAACAAATCCATCGCGGTCGAGTCGATTCTGACTCATAGTGACCCTACAGGACAGAGAACTGCCCCATAGGGTTTCCAAGGAGTGGCTGGTGGATCTGAACTGCCAACCTTTTGATTAGCAGCTGAGCTCTTAACCACTGCGCCACCAGGGCTCCACAGTGGGCTTAGGGGCAGTTTAATGACTACACAGTGGTTCTCCCCCGGACGCGCATCAGAGTCACCAAGGGAGAAGCCCTGCCCCAGAACTGTTAAATCAGAATCTGTGGGGATGAGGCCTGGGTACTGGCACTTTTAAAAAGCCCCCCAGGTGATTCTGATGAGCATCTAATGAGAGCCACTGAACGAGGTGAAGGCAACTCTCAAAGTCTTCGGGGAGCTGCCAACCTATGAAGCATATAATCAAGGAAAGACAGTTCTGTAACTTGAGACGCGGAGTTTTATTATGAAATGGAAAAGGGGATGAGGCATCAAATCAGGGAGGCCTGTAATCTAGAGCATGGCAGAAACAACTCCTAAACCCACAGTCAGCCTGAAGAACCCGACACACCTTTCATCTACTTTTCTTACAAGTTCATGTTTACGATCTATAAAGACCACAGCTTGGCCCTTCCAAAAGGAAGCTGGGCGGAGATAATCCAGTCTGAATCAGTCACTTTCAAGACTAGCAAACATGCTCTAGGACTCTGAAGGCCCATATGCGCTGCAGGGAAATAGCGCACTGTGGTAGGCAGACTCTGGGACTTACAGACAGGGATTTGGGGAGGTTCTCTCACCTCCCTTCACCCCTCCTTTCCTCTCTCAGGTTCTGTTTGCTTATCTGCTCCGGCTTCTCTGATCTGCTCCTTGATGTTAAGCTATCACTTCTCAGGCTGTAATTAGCTCTCACCTCCAACAGCCCCACCCTGATTCTCTCTCCAGCTGCTGGCTCCTTCATAGGCTCTAAGTTGGGAAACACACATACACACATGCGTGTGCACGCACCACAGTTGATTTAGAATTGTTAAATAGTAAAGGAGTCAGGAAATCTCTAAGGAAGTCCCTACTCTTTATTTTCAAGCTTTAGTAGAAAAACTACAGCAATGTCAAATGAAACATTCTAGGGATTAGAAGTTCCTAGAAGACTAAGTTTCAGATAATGTTGACTAAGAAGACCATCCTCACAACTTTAACTCACAAGCTGTTCTGGCTCAACGTGTCTAACTCAGGGTAACTTCTTATCCATATATGGACCACTAAACTGACAAACTAACAGAAAATCAGGTCTCATGAGAGAGAAAATGAAGATCTGAAGGGAGTAACAGAAGAGCAAATCATGTGTTTTTAAATTCAGAAGTTTTTTTATAGCAGAGTTCCAAGTTTTTTTATAGCAGAGTTTGCAGTGAAGCAAGTGTAGATTAGCAAACACTTTGGAAGACTAGAAAATCTCAACACCTAAGGTTTGGGGGCTGACCTGAAATACTTTGCACTACAGAGCAGGGCCGGCGGTACACTCACAACACGTGTGACGACAGCTCTTACATCTGGACTTTGGGTTTTCACCTAAAGTGATATCGCTAAAAAGACACTGTCAGAGAACGTACGACTGAACTATCTCAGTGGGAAGAACACAGAGGAAGCAGGTGTCGGCTCTGAAAAACACCTTCCATGGTAACTTAGCTCTTCTTAGTCTAATATTTTTAGTTTGACTAGTTCCAATAGTGCAGGTTCTTACTCCCCATAGACACCTGCAACCTCAGAGGTACAAACTAGCATTTATCTTTCACTGTAAATCAGTCTCAATGAAAGATAATTAGAAATCAGTTTCTGTCTTAGATTTTCTATTCCTTAAAAATGTTGGTGGATTCTGCATCTCTAAATATAAGGAAGTATCTTACTCTATTCAGTCCACAAGGTACGGGGACAAGGGTGTAAGCACTCAATGGTTCCTGCCATGAGCTGGTGACTTTGGGCATTCATTTACCCTCTCCCAGCCTCAGTTTACTCATCAGTGAAATAACAAGCTTATACAGTTTAAATATAGTTTATGAAACTTATGGTTCATAAATCTATATTATCTTGAGAACACCACCATTACTGCAGTGGATACCATCTAATTTGATACCAAGCTATAAACAGTGAGCCAAAAAAGAAACCCAGACTACAATTCAGTTTTCTACATTACCTCTGGAAATGAAGTGACTCATGAAAACCCTTTGCTTCTAAAGTACCTAGAAATGATATCTCACCGCATAATTTGTAATTTAACAAAGCTGGCAACTATCCAGGAGCTTGGCTTAACATAGTAAAACCTGTGCAAGGAGCAAAGCAGTGTTCAGTTTGAAATCCCACAACCATGAACACTGAAACGGTGTATTTAAGTATTAGTGAGAAGTGGCTATCCAGTTTAATTTTTTCTATAGGATAGGGTAACCCTCTGGCTTCTAGAAAAGGTCATCAACACTCAACATCAAGCTGTGTCTTCCCATAAAACCCTGTTCTAGCCACTGTATCACTCCATTCACCCATCAAGGACATATGGGCTGTTTTCACAGGGTAGTGATACAGCACCACATAAATTCAGACACCAACTAAAACAAGAGGTGCTATGTCCTTTGCCTACTCAGAGGAACGGAACTGGGAACATCTCACAGTACTACTACTGCCAGGATTCCCAGACCCAGAGGTCTCTGGTACTAATGGAGTTTGTGATTTATGAACTCAGGCTGTAGAATTCACCACCATATCTGCTCTTACTTCTCTCCAATGCCCTGTTGACTCAGTCAACTGGCAGTCAATGGGCAGAAGGGTAAGAGTCAGTGAAGCAAGATGCTGTCTAGAATCTAAAGAAAAAGTTGAAAGATGTCACCCTCTGCTGCAATAGAAGCTTCTAGAATTCTTCACACTGGGGATATGATGACATAGCTGCCTCTAGAATAACCTACCCAGTAGCAGAACTTGAAGACATTTTAGAGAGGAGAAGGAGGAGACTTCTCATGTGTTTTTATGTGTTGTCATGGTCCCATGTTTGGAAATGATGGCAAGTTCCAAATGGGTGCCAAGATAAAGAATCAGAGGATGGCAATGTTAAGTTAAAGCCTAGTGGCTCTAGAGCCTGGCACATAGGAGAGTAAAGAATTTGTCTGCATGACTTCAGCACTGCTTACAGGTAAGAAACACATACCTGAGAACATCCTTGCCAGCTCTGAGCACATCGGGCCATTTTCTTCACTGAAGCAGGGATGGTTCCTTGGGGCACAGTGTAATCTAAAGAAGCAACCCCAAAACTGGCCTCTATTCTATTTATATCCTCAGCAATTACTTATAATTTGTCCAGATGGTACCTTCATTTATAGAGATAGGTTTGGTGTGGCTGGGGACATTGCTTCCAATGGTCCCATGTACCTTCTTTCCCATGCACCTCATTCCATGGATAAGGGAAGAGTCTCAAAATTCTGAGTTATGTGTGTACAAACACACACACACACACACACGTATTATCAATCATTCTGGGGCCACATTCTTCTACTAACTGACCAGCCCAGAGCCTCGGATATGTCCAGCTTCCACATGGACTTTACTGCCCACTACTTACCTGCTAGGACTTGGAAGACTCCAGTGATGTAAAATCGGCCCCCCTTGGTGAGAGTGAAGAGCTGACAGAAGAACAGGAACAAGGATAGAACGCTGAAGATAACGGACAGGATCATGGTGGCCTGGACGGACTGCAGCCATACTGGAGAGAAGAGACACTGGGTTAGGAAAGCCAGCCATGGTCAGGATAGGGCTCCACCACGAGGAGCCGGGGCAGATGCGCCAGGACCACGGGGAGCCAGGCCTCCCAGCAGCAGAGCCCTCATTCCTAGCAGATATCAGACAATCTACTGTTGTACTCTTTTAAGTCATTCCTTATTTCATGGTTTCTTTTGGGAAAAGAAAAAAGTAATAATACATGCTTAACTGTAGAAATACTAGAAAAGGACTATAAGACAATATCTACAGTTCCACCATTACGAGTTAAACACAGTTAAAATTATACTGAATTTCCTTCCAGTCTTTTTGGCAAAGGTATTAGTTACATAGATGTGTGCATATTAAAGCAGACCTGAGCCTTGCTCAGAGCTTCCACTGGCCTTCCACCTTCTTGCCCAGAGGCCTTTGAAGGGCTTGTTGGAGCTGCTAAATCCCAAGAATAGTTGAAAAACCATTCATGAAAAACCAGCATCCCCCAAGGCTAATGGTACAGCAACCATGAGATGGCTGGGAAGAAGAAAATGGTGTTGGAACCAAAACTAACTCTAGACACAGTTGGAAGAGAATGCTGATAGGGAAAGGTATGGTTTATAGAACTATGGAAATCTACCTGCTCGGCCAAGCTGTCAGTCTTGACCTTGGCCCTTAACAGAGCAGTTTGCTTAGGTCAAACCTCAAGATAGGATCATGGCTTAGAATTTCTCATCTTTTTTGAACCCCTAACCTTAAGATCACAAAGTCCCTCATGGCACAAACAGTGTGCACTCGACCACTAACCTAAAGGTTGGTGCTTCGAACCCACCCACTGGTGCCGTGGAATAAAAGTCCTGGTGATCTGCTTCTGTAAAGATTACAGTCAAGAAAACCCTATGGAGCAGTTCTACTCTATAAGACATGGGGTCACCATGAGTCGATACTAGCTCCACAGCAATGGGTTTGGTTTTGGTTTGGAACCTTAGATCAAATCTCCAAGTTTCCAACCACAATTCAGGAAAGGAAGATGGCACCCCTGTGGTCTCCCCAGTTCATCATCTACCGCAAATTATTGTCATTCCAGGAAAGAAGGGAGAAGAGAAAACAAACTGGGTCTATGCAGCATTACAGAAGTAAATCTACAGTACCTGCCGAGAAAGGCTGCATTTGGCCCTGCCCACCCTGCCACCTACATCCTTTCTTCCAAATGCCAAGCAATCACCGAGGTGGGCACTTCCCTAAGCAAGGAAACACAACTGGAAAAGCTACAGAGTTCTGTCCTCTTAAATGGCTTAAAAAAAAAAACACAGAGTGCTTAATATAGCATTCAAATCTACGAAATGCTTAATACAGCATTCAAATCTTTGAACTCTGGAAAGTTTATAATCAATAACTGAATAAGAAGCACCTGCTTTTAGTTGTAAAGTAGCTCATGGCAGAATTCTAAGCGCAGTGGTTAGGTCAACTGTTACTTGAGTTTCAGGTAAGATTTTCCAGAAACAGACTGGAAGCATTTTAGAGTTGGAAGAAACCTTTGTACCAAAAGAGATTTCCACAGACATTTCAATAAGCCCAAGTGACACAGCCAAGTCTAGGAGGTCCTGGATTTCCAATCTAGTACTCTTTCCACTAGAACACAAAATATGTTTCTTTTAATTTTTTATTGTCTGTCAATTAAGTTATGAAAAGGATGTCTAACAGGTTGTGAGCAATCCTGATTTCATTTTCTATATCTTTAATTAAATCTGTCTTTACCCACCACAGTGGTTCTTTTGGAAGAGCAATCTTCAATAAAACTAATGTTGCCATAGTAGTATTTTTTTAATCAACAAATTATCCAGCACTCCAGTAGGTACAGCTGGAAACACAAAGAAATATGAGGCCAGAGGTTGAGCTACAACAGCTTACTGACATCACTTTTGTTAGAAAATGTCCTTCAGTGTGTACAACCATAAGAGGCATGGCTGGTGGAGATGAGATCCTTGATTTTCTTCTCCAAGTCTGAGATCACTCAGTCCTTAGCTCCACCTTCATTATCAGCAGGAACTACTATCAGACCTCCTATTTACAGAAAACTCAAAGTCTGACATTTGAAAGCTACATGAATGGGAGAAATTCCTCAGATGTAAGATATAACTAAATCCTTCTTGAAATTTCATTCACTAATAGTTTGAACTTTAGTCCCGACCCCATTACAACTGAGTTCTGTTGCCACAAGTTGTTTCCTAAATCAAATCAGAATTAGGAGATCAAGGAAGTTTTTATTCAGTGAGCATTTGTTAAACACCTACTGTTTCACACCAGGCCCTCTGCTTGGCTCTAGGGGAACACAGATGAAGAAGGCTTTCAACCATAAGCACAATAACTAAAACACATGCATTAAGATAGTAAGTCTAATTGTATCATCAATCACCATATACATGAATGAGTTCAAGTTAATCATTATAAGACACGGAATTTCACCTTGGATTAAATCATCCTTCCTATATTATGATACATGAGATATGCCTAAAACAAACAAGTCGAAAATAAAAAGATTTTAAAGAGACATCAAACAATACTAACAAAAGCAAAGCAGATACAGGAGTAATATCATCAGACAAAACAGAACTGAAAAGGAGCAAACTGGACACAGTGACAAAAGATCCAGTTTACCATGTAGACACAACAGTCATTATAATTCATATATGAACATAGCCTTTAAAAAGTATAAAGGAAAAAATAACGGAAATATGAGAAGAAATTGATAAAGCCACAATTATACTAGACAACATTAGCGTATCTCTCAGATCATTCAAGTAGATCAAAAACAAGGAAAGACATAGATATTTTACATAACAGAATTAACAAACTCGATCTAATAGATATATAGTAAATTTGTATCCAATTAACAGAGAGTATAAATTATTTTCTAACACACGGGACAGTTTACAAACTGACCATGTATTAGGCAACAACAACAACAAAAATCTCAATAAATCTCAAAGAAAGCAAAAATTATACAGGCACAACTAAAGGCAAACAGGAGTGAGAAATTAAAAATAACACACTGATCAAAATAAATTTGGAAATTTAAAAATAATATTACAAATAATCCCTTGAAATGAAAAGAAAGACTCTCTTCAGCAACAGATGACACTGAGAAAACTCTATTTCAAACCTGAGAGATGTGGCCAAAGCAGTACTCAGAGGACAACTTATATCCTAGATACATTCACCAGAAAAGTACTGAAAAGGAATAAACTAAGTTTTCAACTCAAGAAGCTAGAAAGAGAAGGAAATAAATCCAAAAATTAATTAATACACATAAGAGTAGTGATTATTGAAATAGGAAAAAAAACGATAAAAATAAAGCAATTCTTGCGGAGGGGAGAATAAAACACCAAAAAGGCAGACAAACTTTATTGAAGGACATGAAAGAAGTGCTAAAGAAACTGAAACATACTATGTTCCTGGAGAGAAACAGTCAAAATTATAAAGGTACCAATTTTTCCTCAAATAGTCTACAAAATTCGATGTTATTCTGACTCATTATCCCAACAGGGTATGTTTATGGAATTCAATGAAATAATTCTAAAATTCATCTAAAAGATAATAAAAAATAATAGCCAAGGAAAATTCTGAACCAAGCAAACCAAAACACAAAAATCCAAAAATGAACAAGAACAAAACAACACAACCAAACACTGAGACAGGACATCACCTATCAGATGTCAAGATATATAAATACACAATGCTTGTATTATTTTTATATTATAAAGTTATAGCAATTCAAACAATGCAGTATTAGCCATTAGAGACAAACAGAACAATGGGAGAGAATGAAGATTCGGGAAGTGTACACTCAAACTTAGTAACAGTAAACATGGCATTCTAAATCAAAAAAGAATACAACAGATAATAAGTGGTGTTGCTATCCATTTGGCAAAAAAAAAAAACCTGAATTAGAGCTCCAGCTCACATCATTCACAAACTTGAATTCCAGATGATCAAAGAGCACATGTAAAAGGCAGGTGGATGGGTGATCCACAAAGGAGAAATACGCATGGCCAGCAAACATATGAAAAGGTGCTCAGCCTCACTCATAACAGGGAAATGCAAGTAAAATCTATAAGGAGTGTGATACCAACTGTTATCTGTAAGATTGGCAAAAATCAAGAAGATCAGTAATTTCAGCATAGTAAATGTGTGTTAGATACCCATATACACTGTTGGCAGGAATTAACATATAATAATCCTTTTGTGAGCGGCGATTTGGCAGAATATATTTAAAAACTTAAACGGCTATACATAATGACCAAACATTTCAACTACTATATTTTGGATAAATACCTGAACATATACTCAAAGAAAAATGAGTAAGGATGTTCATTTTCACATCATTCCTATGAGTGAAAATAAATTAAGGCATATCCCTAAAATGGGATATTCTGCAGCAGTTAAAAAACTCATTAATTAGAAAATGAAATGTTTACAATATCTTCAAAGAATAAGGTGTACAGTAGTACACACAGCATAGTATCATGAAGCAAACACCCACCAAAATATCACATGTACATATGGATGCATGGATGTGTATGTGTTCACAGAAAAGAGATCTAATGGAGACGTGCCAACTGACATCCGTGGGTACCCCAGGAACTGGAATCGTTATGCAGGAGAGTATGGCCAAAGAGTTCTCTTCAGTAGAGCTACATGGTTTGATTTTTTTTTAATAAAGAGAATATTCTTACGCAATATTGTAATGTGTGAATAACTGAAACCAGTTTAAAAGATGACAAAATAAAGAAAACATAGCAGTCGGTAAGTGAAGGGTTAGGATTGCAAAAGCCAGAGCGCTGCTGGAATCATGGAATCAGCACCAGGCTTCTGAACTGCAGAGAGAGAGGGCTTTTCCTTTCCTCAAATATCATCTAATCAGAAGCAGCGAGGGAAGAACAGAGCCCAAAACAGAGCCAAGCCAGGAGAAACGGGCCTCCTTTCCAGCCCCAGGAGTCTGGCTGGAGACCC